TGTCTAGTTTGCTCAAATCGTATAATCGTGAATCGCAATAAGAAAAAAGAAAAGTCCATATATTATATAAACACGATGATTTGTTACAGTTTTTATTTTATTCATAACCACCGTTGTTGTTCGTTTGCGACGACTTTTTAAACAAAAAATGTGTTATGTTTACTATCTTTTCCAAGAATTCCAAACATGAGGGAGAGAATAAGACGCACAACAGGGATCCGGTATGAAAATTAATCGGACAAAGATTTTACCTTTAATTGTTAAAATTACATTTTTATACTATTTGTACAATTCTACCGGAAAAGCAGTCTTAAACAAGCAAAACTGGCAAAAATATTGTAACAAAACTGCCAAATTTCAAATATTTTAGACGTCAGTTGGGCGCCCTCATTCGGTCATAATGCGAACGACCACCCACGAAAACGGGTCACGAAAAACGGCGAGCCGTCTCTACTGATTGATATCTATGCTGTGGTAATAGTTATGTTTATGCAACCCAAAATATATATTCACAAGCTACTTCGCGAATGATTTATTTAAATCTTTTTTTAATATCAGAGTTATCCAATTTTGAGAAACGTCAAATGTGTCAAAAATATTTTTCAAATTGTCAGAAAATTTTGTTTCGGTTTTGTAATAGGCGGCCAACTTTCCCGTAGTTTTGCTTCTAGTCGACCAAACACTGGGGTACAAATTAGCTATACCGCTGCTGCATTTTTTCTGCATTCTCCGAATTTTAGTATCATGTCGTTTTCTCGTCGTTTGTAATCATTTTAGATCACAGTAATTATTTGAAACTTCACTAATCAATATGACGTTTCTCAAAATTGGATAATTCTGATAATAAAAAATTATTCAAATGAATAATTCGCGAAGCAATCTGTGAAAATGTATTTTGGATTGCATAGACACAATTTTTAAAACGGACACTATTCGTGAATCACCGTGTATATAAAATTCTCGTGTCACAGTGTTTGCAACCGAACTCCTCCGAAACAGCTTGACCGATTTTTATGAAATTTTTTGTGTTTATTCGGTAGGTCCGAGAATAGGTTGTAAACAAGGATCCTTAATAGTGACTAGGTTAGTGCATACAGCGAGTTTGTAGACAGACCTGTTACAGGAGCAAGGGGAGCCACCACTCATTTGTGACATAGAAAGTGCCTCGCTAGGGTTTTTGGGATCTTGTTGTGAACTACCCTGACTGTGATTACGTCCTGCTACAAAGGTTTTGTAAACACAATGTCAGTTTCGGCAAAATCGCTTTTGCAATGCAATGAGAAAAAATAACTAGATTTCAAATTACCCGCGTAAGTTTTCTACGTCATCAACATGTCTCTTCAAGGTCATGATATACATCACTAATCACTATAAAGGGACCTTGGGTTGTAAACTATTTTTTATACCCCAAAGCAGTGTTAGGGACAGATACTTTTACAATGATCTAGATACAGATACAGATATATGGAAAATAAAATTATCTACAGTATATCCCCAGATTGAGTTCACAAGAGGAAAAAAAAATTGGTCTAAAGAGTTTAGACAGTACTTCCCTCGCTGTCGGAAACTTGACGACTGCATGCCTATTGTGTTTTTTTTCTCATTACATTTTTGTAGTGGGAATTTAAAAAAAAATTGCGATGACGTCATCAACATTTTTGCAAGGACACGTATATCAGTTGGGATAGATGTAGTGTAATACTAAGAATAAAATTATTATATTCTCAAATTTTCGGGAAAATGAATTGGGTCGTTTGAATATTGATTTGTAATAATCAATAAAATAACGAAACAATTTACTCACGTATACCTACGTATCAGAGGCAACTGAAAATCGTGTATGTATAAACATTGTTAATTTAAGATGACAGGCGTAACAGCATACGTGAGAGCCAAACACAGAAACTGTAAACAAAACGACCGTCGGTTTTATTGCTTCGACTTCCGCTTATTATATAAAACATTGGGTTTTATTTTAATTCTTGACGGTGAAATTCACAATTGGTTGATTATAAACATGTCTATTTCACATTCGCGGAATCAAGTGAACGCATAAAACAAATGCAGGTCTGTAATGTTAAAGTCGATGTAAATAAGCGTGCTACCCTTATGTTTCAACCGAGTTTTTCCTTTAACAAATTTTGTGTCTACCAAATTGGGTTGGTTGGGGTGTAATACTAATAATAAGTGTTGCCTTTAATTTAATCAATAAAATAAATTGACTTCATTAATTTTTTTGAACCACCTCTTAAGAAAATCTAAAAAATATGAATGGAATGATAAATCACAAGTACAAACTCATCATATTTTTTGCATTTTAGATAGGATTTATTCAGCAAAATGTAAGCGTGACGTCATCAATTTTTTTAGGAGGGATGAACAAATACATTTTGAACAAAAGTTTACCATGCTTATAATAACTTTAAAATATTCCCAAGATTTCAAAGCATTCGGTTTTGTAATTCCTGATTAAATCGATAAAATAAATTCACGCCTTCATTAATTTTTTTGAGTCACCCTGCATATGCAAATCCAAAAATATGAATGGAATGATAAATCACAAGTACAGACTCATCATATTTTGTACATTTTAGATACGATTTATTCGGAAAACTTTTGAGCTGACGTCATCAGTTTTTTGTAGAAGATAACCAAATATATTTTGACTAAAAATTTATTATGCTCTTTATAACCTTAAACCATCTGCAAGATTTCAAAGCATTCGGTTTTGTAGTTCCTGATTAAATCAATAAAATAAATTTACGCATTCATTAATTTTTTTGAGTCACTCTGTATATGCAAATCCAAAAAATATGAATGGAGTGATAAATGACAAGTACAGGCTCATCATATTTTGTACATTTTAGATATGATTTATTCGGCAAACTTTCGAGCTGACGTCATCAAGTTTTTGGAGGGGATAAGCAAATATATTTTGACTAAACATTTATTATGCTCTTTATGACCTTAAAACATCTGCAAGATTTCAGAGCATTCGGTTTTGTAGTTCCTGATTAAATCAATAAAATATATTTACGCATTCATTAATTTTTTTGAGTCACCCTGTATATGCAAATCCAAAAAATATTAATGGAGTGATAGTTCACAAGTACAGACTCATCATATTTTGTACATTTTAGATATGATTTATTCCACAAACTTTTGAGCTGACGTCATCAAGTTTTTGGAGGGGATAAGCAAATATTTTTTGACTAAAGATTTATGATGCTCTTTATAGCCTTAAAACATCTGCAACATTTCAAAGCATTCTGGTTAGCAGATTAAAAATTAAATTTCAAAATGTTGTTTTATAATTTTGATTTTTTTTCCAAAAATCTGGACGTTTCGGGTGAAAAGTCGATTCAGAGTTGTAAACTACATGTGTAGGACTATGTTATTTTATACAATTGAAAACCCATTTACTATGTACAATTTTGAAGTGACGTCATCGCTTTAGTGGTGGGGATGATTCGACAAATTTTGGTTAGCGTTTTACCATCTACATGATATTCTTAATATAAGTACAAAATTTCACAACAATCGGTCGAGCACTTTCGGAGATTATCTGTCTAATAAAAATCCGTGACAACAGACGGACAGACGGACAGACGGACAGACGGACGGACAGACGGACAGACGGACAGACGGACAGACAGACGGAAATGGGAGACCTATTTCTTCGTCTTCTAGGGGTCATGAAAGATCGAGAAAACGTAAAAGTAGAGAGTCGGCCGACGGACTCGATTACAATACTTCCTTTGCTTACGCTCGGGAAGTAAAAACTGTATTTTCTATTTTACAAAAAAATGACATAGGAATAACATTTTTTGCTTAATTCAAAACGAATAAATCTGCAATTAAAACTTCAGTATTCCTGGGGGTCTACTCTCGACTTGGGTGACATTTGTCACTGATGACAAAACTCATCATTTTCAAAGTCATTCATTTCCTTAATTGACGTACTCTCGACAATCGGTGAGATGACAAAAGGCACTGACGCTTTTTCTCACCGAAACGCTATGGCAACTGTGCAACAACTGTCAAATTAATTTGACAAGTTCTCATTTAAGTTTAAATACCCAAGTATAAACTCAAAAATGAAAGTGAGTGAAGACCAAAAAAGCTGTTTAATCGAGTTTATGCAGCGTAATGCCAAATTGCTGTCGGGAAAATTTTCCTCTGAATTCACAAAAGTGGACGCACGGAATTTGTGGATGAAATTGGCAGAGGAATTAAACAGCTTGCCGGGTCCAGGACGTGACTGGAAATCTTGGCGAAAGGTGTGAATAACACTAAAACAAAATATTGGTTGGTATATTTTATTTGTATTTTAGACGTGGCAAGATCTGCGTATGCGGACGAAACAAAAAGCTGCAAAAAATTTAAAAGAAACAAAAAAAACTGGGGGCGGTACTGCAGATATCCAACCGTTAAATCGTTTGGAAAAAGATATTGCCACTTTAATATCACCCATGGCTATCAGGGGCCTTAATGCGCCACAGCCAGTAGTGACGTGGGGGTCGACAGAGGCACCGTCTCACGAAATTTTAAGTAATGAGCCTTCAACATCTGCTGATGTACGTTTTCACGTATCGCCACCAATTAGCCCTTCGTCTGTTAATAGTTGTGATGGCTTTAGAACAGAAAATTCCTACTCGCCTCCTACTAGCTATCGCAAATTGCCCTCGAAGTCCCAAACAGCACCAACACCGGTGACTAATGTCCCTGTTGTTTCTAAAAGGCAAAAACGTTTACGGGCAAGCCACGACGAGTATGCTAGCTATCTCAAAAAAAAGCTTGAAATTAAAGAAGGTTATTATAAAGAAAAGTTGGAGGTTTTAAGAAACCAATCAAAGGAGGTACAAAGTATCGCTGCAGCATTGAATAATATTGCAAATGCTTTACTCACTTTGAAACCGTAATTTTTTTTTACTTGTTGAAGAATAGAATTTTGTTGTTATTATCAATAATAATTTGAAAATTAAGTATAATGAATTAGTTTTTTGGGGTTTATTGAAATCTAGCTCGAATCAAACGAGCACGGGTATTCCTTCCCGCCACTAATTCTGGATTAATGCGTCCTTGTGCTCTTTCGTTTTCTTCCAATGGTGGAGCTTGAATTAAACCTAAACAAATTCTTGTTAGTTCCCACTGATCAACGAATATTCCCTGCTTCACCGTCATTCACATCTATTACTTCTTCATCCTCGGGTACAGGCATGTGGTGGTCTGTGCACAAATTGTGAAGAACAGCACATGCGTTTATTATTTTACACGCCATTTCTGGCTTGTAGTGCAGCACTCGATCTTTAAGGCAACATCTAAATCTGGCCTTCAGTATCCCATTACATCTTTCAATTATACTCCTAACACTTTTGTGAGCCACGTTGTACCTGTATTCAGGTGTATCAGGAGCTGGCTCATAATTAAATGATGTTAGTAGCCATGGTCGGAGAGGATAACCTGAATCACCTACAACATAGAATTAAGTACTTTAATTAAAATGGATCATTTTTACTAGCTGAGTTACACACCTAACAAATAATAATTTGATCGTCCCTCACCGTGGATTTGCCTCATCACCCTTTCGACCTCACAATTGGTCCAAATGAAAGAATCATGCGTATTGCCGGCATGAGCTGCTACAATATTCAAAATTTTTGCATTCGAGTCACAAATCTAAAAATATTTCTGAGATGATTTCATTTCTACCATAAAATATTGCTTTACCAATTGCACGTTAATAGAATGGTATCCTTTTCTGTTTACGAAAGCCCTTTCTGGCATTTCAGGATTATTACCTGGAGGAGGTACTATTGCAACGTGAGTGCAATCTATGCATCCTACCACTCCAGGAAAACCAAATTTTTCGTAAAATCTATAGGAATGCCGGTAATGGGTTGGTTGGGAAGAAATATTACCTACTACAATACTTTCGTCTGCAACTATTCAATTCTTGAATATCTTGAGGAAATTTGATAAATCTATTCAGAATCTGTGGTCTGTTCAAAGCATCTGTAACTTCTTTTATAGAACGACTGACGCTTTGTTGAGATATGGAGACAAACTTATTGACACCAATATCCGTTTGATAACTCCCTCCGGCATAAAACCGTAAAGCAGCCAACACCTAAAATAATAGTACCATATTTATACTGATTTCATATGAATTTAGATTATATTCTTAGATGTTGTAAATAGTTAAAATTTTTAGTTACACGCGTGTTTATAGCCAAATCTGTACCACGATTTTGAGGACGCATAAATGGAGCAAGTAACCCCACAATAAATCTAAATAAAATTTTTGACACCCTAAAGATTTTAACAAATTGATTTTCCGGTAATGTCTCCAACGGATCAATTGTAACCCGTAAAGCTGGAACAATTGCATTATCTTCTTCAGCATCTTCCAGTTCTTCTAAAATATCGGCCATGTGAAGTTCATCCATTTTATATTGGGTAAATGGTTTTCTAAAAGAAAAAAAATCCATTTAGAAAAATAGAAGAAACATATGTAAAAAATGTTTATAAATGTGGGTACTTTTTATTTGCTGCCGCCTTGAGATGTACTTCTGAAAATGTTTTGATTTACAAGAAAACTAAAATTTATAAATTAGAAAATAATTCAATCAAAAAATTTGAGTAAACCTACCTCCCATTTACACTATTAACACATGTATAAAAGCTTTGGTACAAAAGTCACCACTGTTTTTCTGATCGTTGCCACTCACTGATTTGTGAACGGCTTTTATCGTGTGTGACAAATTTCTCACTTGTCAGGAGTACGTCAGTCATAAAAATAAGTCACTTGATGATAGAACTCACACACGTTTTTTCTCACGTATCAAGAGTACGATGTCACTAAAACTCGGTGACATATGTCACGAAGTGACAAAACTCATCGGTGAGTTTTGTCAGGAGTAAGGTCCCTGGTCTGTACTCTTAAAATTAATTTTTCATATTTCTAAGTTTTTCGTTACTTTTAGTTTTTTCGATTTTTAAGGACACAGCCTGATAATATTAAAATTTTAATTGCAGATTTATTCGTTTTGAATTAAGCAAAAAATATTCCTATGTAATTTTTTTGTAACAGTTTGTTTTCCTCTTGTGTACTTAATCCGGGGAATAAGATAAGATACATATTGTTTTCATTTTTTTCGAAATGTATCTAGATAATAGATAAAAAAAAAGAGATATTTTTTGAAATTTTGGCCAAAATAACACTACTGATAACAAGTTTTTACTTACTTAAATAAATTTTTCTCGGTGTAAGAAGTTGTCTTCCGCTGCTAAACACCTGCTGTAAAGGTGCAGAAGAAGAAACTGTTTTGTTAATTTAAAAAAAATAGCATTTTACAGCAGTATTGATTCACATTCTATTACAAAATTAATTTGTACTAATTAAAAAAATTAATCATTATGTAATACGCAAGAATTTTTTTTTCTGAAAATATATAATACACTGACCAGCAAAAAAAAAATCGGCCACCCTTAAAAATTTCGCAAAACCAAACTTTAAATATTATTAAATTAATTAGTGATCGTTATTTTATTAAAGAACGATTCACTATTGACACATGATGTATATATAAATTAGCAAAAAAAAGAAGACGAATAAAGGCAGAATTAAATTTAACTTAACAAAACAACAGAAACCGAGCGACAATTTGAGAACCGTTTGCAAGAGTTACCGGCACTGTTTTCGTGTGAAAACGTTTATTAACTGCCAAACTTATAATCAAATGATGAAAAACACTGTTTACAACAACAGTTTATTGTTTTAATTAAGAAAATATCGTACTTGGTCTGTTTCTGTTATTTTGTTAAATTAAATTGAATTCTGCGTTTATATGTCTTCTTTTTTTGCTTATTTGTACATGTGGTGTCAATAGTGGAATGGTTCTTTAATAAAATAACTATCACTAGTTGAATTAATAATTTTTAAAGTGGTTTTGCGAAATTTTTCAAGGTGGCCGATTTTTTTTGCCGGTCAGTGTACCTTTAAGGAATTTTTTTACAATAAAACATTACTCCTATTTCATAATATGTACAAATAACGGGTGTTCAATTGAAAAATCACTCACAATAGGCGTTGGAATATCATTTGACACAAACGACATGTCTGTTCTTATAACTTACTAGCTGACCCCGTGAACTTCGTTTCACCTACAATTTAATTTTGAATCTGCAAAATCGAATGCTTTGAAATCTTGCAGATGTTTTAAACATATGATAAGCATAATAAATTTTTATTCAAAATATATTTACTTATCTCCTCCAAAAAATTGATGACGTCAGCCCAAATGAATCCTATCTAAAATGTCCAAAATAGGATGAGACTATACTTGTGATTTATCATTCCATTCATATTTTTTCGTTTTGCTTATAGGGGGTGTCTCAAAAAAATTAATCACTGAGTCAATTTATTTTATTGATTGAATCAAGAATTGCAAAACTGAATTTTGAAATATTGCAGACGTTTTGAAGTTACTGTTTGACATGGCAGGTTTTCAATCAAAATATATCTGTTTATCAAGCCCAAAAACTTGAAGACGTCATCTCAAGATTTTGCCGAATAAATCTAAAATGTGGAAAATATCATCAGTATGTTTTCGTAATTTATCATTGCATTCATATTTTTTAGATTTGCTTTTACAGTGATTCAAAAAAATATATGGATCAGTCAATTTATTTTAGTGAATAACTCAAGAGTTGCAAAAATGAATACTTTGAGATCTTGCAGACGTTTTAAAATTATTGTAAGCATGGTAAATTGTTAAGAATATTTATTTATTCCCCCCAAAAAATTGATGGAATGGTTCACTCGATTTTCGCAGATAATTTTGGGAATACAATACAGTTATTTTTAGTATTACAGTGCACCAATCCAAGGTGGTATACGTGTTGATCGTAACTGTTGGTCATCACAAAATTGTGTGAAGAAAATACTCAACTCGAAAATGCTGATTATATGTTTCATTATACTTTTGGTGCGAAGGAAGTTCTGTCGAAACAACGTTCGATCAATTTTTTGACAATGGTTGATATAAATAAAACTCAGTAGATGCTCATACTCGAAATACGAAGTATCTACTCGAATATCAAATCAAAATATTTCTAGTTTTTCTAGATGATACTAATACTTCAGTAGGTAACAGTTGATGCTCAAGTAGCATCTCGATACAACAAAAAAGGACAACAGTGACAGTGTTCAACCATCAAGGCAAAAATCGAGTCACCAAAATATAAGTTAGTATGGGGTAGACACCTTGAGATGGGAATCTCTATGGCCAGTGTTAGAAAGAACGCACTGCACAATTTATGCATAAATAAAAGTTAATTAAGGTACATGAAAAGTTTTCGATATTCCTGCTTCTAATGTGTTTTTCAAACTGAATGCACCTTTTGACCACGTTCCACGTTCATGAAAGTCGCCATGTTTAGTTAAAATTCACTCTTACAACGATCCTACTCGTTTTCTAAGCTGCTTTACAGACAGCTCAGTTATTTGCCACGCCGATGCTCATTTTTAGATTAAATGCTCACAAAACGCGTAGATGTTCAGTTTGTGTCCGGGGAGATACAATGTTTCCAAGTAGGTACTCAGTACATAGAGTAGGTGGTCAGGTACATAAGAGTAATAATGAAGTAGGTACTTCGTACTTCGAATATTAGTTTCTACTCAGTTTTATTCATACCACCCAATGTCTCGCTTCAATGTTTGATTATGTTGATTATGAGCACAACGCTGATCAACTTCCGTATCCGAATTACCCATGAAATAAATCATTGGGGTTTGCACCTGAGATAGTTCGTCGCACATTTGATTGACTTCGTGGACCTATGTGAGCTTGTCGTCTTCTCGGCATTTTAATGAACTTCATAAAACGACAGAATTATTTTCAGTCAATCAAATCTGTAAATTTTGTCTTGAGCATTTTAAAATATTGAAAACTTCAAATCAAATCCTCGAATAACGGTAAAGTTTGAGGTTTTGTCGAAACCAACAAACTGAATATAGGTAAATAGAATGGCAGATCAAAATGAATAAGAAACTTTCGCAATGTGTAATTAAATTCACTTTAACCAAGGTCCGTCAGGAACGCCAACTATTCATTTCGAAGTGGCGATTCCCATACAAAATTTTTAATTTTTTTTTATCTTTTAGCTGTCTTATTTTTTATAAATTTTCTTACATATAAACCTTGTCCTGACAATAAGGAACACGTAAAAAAAAGAATCATCCAATTCGATGCAGTCGTTCTGAAGTTATGAGCGTACATACATTTCGGCGATTCATTTTTATTTATATAGATGCATTATTATTTTAGAACAAATTTCATTACCATAAAAAAGGTTATACTGACTCGACCTGAAAAGATAGACATATGCTGTCGCGGACTTATCTTTAGAACTTTTAGAGGGGAACAATTTCGTCATACATGATTTTTACGTAACTTTAACCCCGAATAGTGTATCTGCCGAATAAGAGCTATTTATCTGGAAGATAATTTTATCAGGTGGTGAAAAGACTCCATTTGACATTGTCTAGTAGATAAAAATAATCAGGAACTCTATCAGGAGGTGAAAAGACCGGCCCTAAGCAGCGTAAGCAACGGAAGCTGTCAAAGGAGGAATAATTTTCCCGTTTTTCCGAATTTTTCATTGCTACTTCGCTCCTAATAATCGTAGCGTGATGTTATATAGCCTATATGCAGATATGATACATGGACTATCTAACACAAAAAGATGTTTTGAATTTGAACCAGTAGTTTCTGAGATTAGCGCGTTCAAATAAACAAAAGCTTCAGCTTTATTATATAAGTATAGAAGTATAGGTAACAGTGGTTTCTACCAAGTGGATGTTATAAGAACAGACATACCGTTTGTGTTAAATGAAATTCCAACGCTTTCTCTAAGTGATTTGTCAATTGAACACCCGTTACAACCAACTTCCTGCCTAAGCAGGTAAAATGTGTTGTCCCTACAAGCGTTTATTGTAAAATTCAGTGAATAGTGAATTATGGTTTATAGCATTTAAAAGACCATCTTAGAATTATGAGATCTCACATTTGTTACCCTTCAGGATTATATTTAAAGATGGATAGTACTGAAGGCTACGGTATAGAAAATGGCGAAAATGATTAAATGGAGTATTAGTTAGAGTCATAGAACACTATTAGTGGACCTCTTGTCTCTATTTTTGTCTATGGAACTACCATCACCAACATGAAATGTCAACATTAGTATTACAGTAACTAAACTACCAACTAATAAAAAAAAGTACAATAAAAAGATGTATCTGTATCTTTGGCATTTATTTTGTATCTAGATACAGATATTTTGTGCTTAAATTTGATTTTATCTATATACAGATAATAGATACCCAAATATGTATCTAGATTACAAATATCTAAATAATGCCCAACACTGCCCCTAAGTGATAAGGGTGGCCCACCCTAAAATTTTTTTCTTTATTTTTTGGACAAAATTTTTTATTTTTATTTTTTTAACATTCGGCATCAAAAAATATATATAACCCTAAATTTTCACACCAACCCCCATTTTTTAATCTTCTACCCTATATAATAAGATTACGCAACCAGCCGTGCACTATACTGAATTTATTCCAAGTGTATTTTGAGGTGTTTTCTTCTTGAATAGTTAATGTTGAAATTTCATATTCATGCAAGTAAGTTCTCAGTAAACCCATTTACATTGTTTTTCAAATTAATTAAGTATCCCCAGAGAAAGTTTTTGCCAAAGTTTTTGAACAGGCATTATATAGTTGCATTTACAATAATACTCGTTCGCATATCAGTTTAGGACAGCATGGATTAAAAACTGGTAGATCTACATCTACAAACCTTGCAGTGCTTGTTCAAGATCTAAGGGTGGCACTTGATCAACGAGAACAAATAGACGTAATATAT